ATCCCTCCTTCCTGTAATTTGTTACAGAACTTGCTGTTTTATTCATGTTGAGACTTAATTCTATAATATACTATATTATATATTTAAATGTTTTAAGCATTCTGTTTCTCAAATAGATTATGACAGTTAAGTAGGCAAGACTTTCCTCAAATCAATTCTATATGCCCCATGGCACTTATCACAGCTATATACGAACAGTAGGTGTAAATATTTGTCAAACATTTATACATGTCAATGTAAAAATATATGAGCATTTGTTTATTCACATTTTACATGCATTTTTCATTTTACAAAAAAGGGATTTACTAGAAACTTCTTTTAAGTAGTAGCTCCTCTATGTGGAAATGTTTTTAAGTGTTCATCTAGAAATATCAAATATTCATCAAAAGGCTGAGGTAGAGTTGGTGGGGAAAATGTTGAAGCTCTTGGGTAAGTAATTAATCACAGATCAACAAGAAATGAGATTATGAAAAACAATCAGTGAGGAAAGTCTCATTTACATCAACCTTTTAGAAATCCTTTCATTGTGTGACATGGCTTCCTTTTTTTTTTTTTTAAGTGGGGTCTTACTCTGTTGCCTTGGCTGGACAGCAGTGGTGCAATCATAGCTCGCTGTGGCCTCCAACTCCTGGCCTCAAGTGATCCTCCTGTCTCAGTCTTCTGAGACTCTGGGATTACAGGCATGAGCAACTGGCAACTCACATTTAAAAAATATGTATTCTTTGTTCTCCTTTACACTTTGTATGGCAATCTCCAGGGTAACTGATAGAGAATAAAGTTTATGTCTAGGTTCAGTCTGTGGCTCTACCTATCATTGAGTGTAAAATTGGGCTGGTTATTCAACCTCTCAGGACCCCCCTCATCTAAAAAATTAACATAATACTTATCTGATAGGATGTTGTGGGGATTAAATGAGGTTGTGCATATAAAGTAGCTGGTGAAATATTTGCTGCCAGTAGGTGATCACTCAGTGGTGGATGGTATTACTTTTTATTTAGGGGGAGAGAGTTAAGGGAAAAGGGTAGAAAAAGGTGAACCTGATGGTTTACTTAAGAGACTTAGAGGGCTGGGCACAGTGGCTCATACCTGCAATCCCAGCATTTTGGGAGGCTGAGGCAGGTGGATTGCTTGAGCCCAGGAGTTCGAGACCAGCCTGGGCAACATGGCGAGACTCCAACTATATAACAATATAAAAAATTAGCTGGGCATGGTGATGTGCACCTTTGGTCTCAGCTACTCAGGAGGCTCAGGTGGAAAGGTCACCTGAGTCTGGGAAGTAGAGGCTGCAGTGAGCCATGATGGTGCCACTGCACTCCAGCCTGGGTGATGGGGGTGAGACCCTGTCTCAAAAAAAAAAAAAAAAAGATAGATAGCTACAGAGACTTAGGGGTAGCCAGGGAAGACACCATATGCAGAGGTGGTTGATAGTGCAGAGGTGAAAGGGCAAGAAAGGGCATTTTGAATAATACAGATGATGCTAAAATGTTGGGAGGTACAGAGTAAGGATGGGCTATGTTATGAACAATTATTTGCACGTTCTTATTACACGGCATACGTTACGTTTCCAAATTTAAGTTATAGACTAAATTAACATCTTTACTGGAATGGATTTTTAGTAGGTAATAAAATTAGCATTCTCAGGATTTCAGGTAACAGTGACAGAAAAGGGAATTAGGGAGAGGAGTAGAGAACAGAGGTGACTTCTCACTGCAATGTTGCTCTCTGTCCCTACTATGCCCCACCCACAACTCTGTCAGGGACATATTGTTTCCTCCTCAAAGATAGAGTGTGGCAGCAAATTATAAGGCTGGACAGTAGAACTACCTGGAAGAGAATTGGCAGAATAGAAGGATGGTGGATGATCAAAAGAGTGAAGCAGTGAGTTCATTCCTGGACACTGCCCACATGAAAATGGGGTTTGGGAAAGGTTGGCTAAAAGCAGTGGGGACTGATCTTTGGAAGTATGATGAGGACAGTGAGTCAGAGTTACTCACTTTATCAGTGCAGGAGACCATGTGGGTTACAGCTATCAGAGCTTACTGTGGGTAAATCCAATAAAGAGCTCTGTTGCTAAAATTGAACAATTACGGTGTTTTTCTAATTTCCAGGAAAAATGGGTTTAAAGGTTTTCATTTTGTGAATTATTATTAATTTTTTGGTACTTCTTACCTTGTAAAAAAGTTGCAAATAAATTTAAAGAGAAAAACACAGACATATTTTCTCTTAAAAACACATTATTTTTTGGCTGGACACAGTGGCTCACGCCTGTGATCCCAGCAGTTTGGGAGGCCAAGTTGGGTGGATCACATGAGGTCAGGAGTTCCAGACCAGCCTCGTCAACATAGTAAAACCCCATCTGTACCTAAAATACAAAAATTAGCCAGGGGTGATGGTGTGTGCCTATAATCCCAGCTACTTGGGAAGGAGGCTGAGGCATGAAAATCACTTGAACTCAGGAGGCAGAGGTTGCAGTAAGCTGAGATGGCGCCACTGCACTCCAGCCTGGGTGACAGGTCAAGACTCTGTCTCAGAAAAAAGAACAGCAACAACAACAAAAAAAAAACCCATTTTTTAATATGTGGAGATTTGCATAACCATAAAATAGCCAGATTTAGTGCTTGTAAAATTGTGTCAATTCCATATGGCAGAGTTAAATCTATCAGCATTTCATGAGGCTCCACATTGAGCACCATAATTTCTAGGGACTGCCACCTGAACTAGTTTGAAAACCAACATTACACCCCTGACTGCCTTTTGTTATTTCTCGGAGATGGAATGTTATTAGTCTCAGTGAAACTCGCAGGGAAAGGCTTAGATACCAAGTAATCTTAAAAATAAATTTAAAAAGACCGAAGAAGAATTAAATAGGGTAAATTCGAGGGTAAGAAGGATAACATAATAGCTCGTGTTTCCTGAGTCCTTATTGTGTAACAGGCTTTGTGTTAAGTATTTTCCAAAATTCCGTTTCATCCTTACATCCATCTGTGAAGTATTAATATCACCCACTTTAGACAGATGAAGAAAGGAAGGTCCAGAGACCTGTTCAAGGTCACATAGCAGGTAAGTGTTGTGTGATACTGAGATTCAAACCGAGGTTTTCCGACTCCAGTGATGATGACATTGCAATGCTTCTTTGCGTGTATGTGATTTTAAAAAACTGACATGAAGCGCACAGATCTTTTTGCATATGTATACACCCGGGTAACCATTAACTAGATCAAGATACTGAGTATTTCCAGCAAACCAGAAGGCTCGCTCCTGTCTCCTCTCAATCAATTCCCCTGTAAGTAATCACTGCCTTGTCTCTAACATCATAGGTAGATGGGTTTTCGTTATATTAATCTAACTTTCTGGAGTTAACACCAAAAAATTCCGTATGTCAGCCCTTCACCTTGCCATGTTAGCTGTACTATTCAAAGCTGCTCTAGCTCTGACTTTGCAAGCATTCACTGTAAAGAAGAGCTGTTGGATGGATATGTTCATGTCCAATTTCTTGTATTGTTCTGAAATTAATACTAATTTTTGAAAATCGAAGAAACTCCTGGATGAAGTGCTACGGGATGGGGTAGATTAAAGCGCCGTTATCAAACTAACCTCTCTACCTTGGAAACTCCACAGAGCTTCCTTGATTGATGTAATTTGGCGCATCTATTTCCGATCACGGCATCTGATTAAGAAGTTGGATGACCACGAAAGGTCATCTCAGTTTATGGAAGGGAAGGCGGGCCAGGCACAGTTGGTCACGGTGATTGCTTCGCATCGTCTTGCAGCGCGCGAAGATGTTTATGTCCTAAACATCTTCCACAGTCGACTTGCTGTTTTATGACAGGAGGGAAAGAGTAGAGGGGAAGAAGATCTATGTGGAGGGTGAAATATAACCTAACATCGTTCGACGAGGCATTAATGTGGTGGCTTTCCCGCCCTTGCCACCAGCTCTTAAAACCACTTCTTAGCCAACCTGGCAGTGACAGAAGCAGCGCCGCGACTTTACCTCAGGCTCGCAAGCTGTGGTTGGTGAATTTTCAGCCATTATTCTAAATACGTCTCCGTCTCCCCACCAACCCCACTGTTGTTTTGTTTTTCTTTCTCATTCTGATTCTCCCCACAGCCAACCGTGGCCTTTTGAAGCCGTCTACAAACTACCATTGAGAATTCGGGAAAGAATAACTGACACTTGTAGGCTTCAAGGACTCTCCGAGTGATGTGTGCCTGAGGTGACCGAAGTGGGGGAGATCTAGGGGAGCGTTCCGGTCATCAAAGCAGGAGGACAGGCCCTGAAATGGGCGCACGTGACAGCAGCAGCCACCTCGAGAGTGACATCACCCCTGGGGGCGGAGCCCAACTATGTAGGGCCTTGTCAGTTACCGAGCTTCCTCCCCGCTGCCCCTCCAAATGCCACCCACAAGTCCGAGCCCCCCGGGGATATCAGAAATGCCAGGACATCCCAGAGCGCCAGAACCAGGGCCCCGTCTCTCCGCGCGGAGGAGGACTGCGCCCCCACTCCCTCTTCCAGCCGTTCCCCACCCCCAAGCTGTGGAAGGGGCGGGGGC